CGGTTAAACACAAAGTTCGGTTATAACTGATGTAGTTGTATCCTTTACCTCCGCCTTCTATCGGTTAAACACAAAGTTCGGTTATAACTGATGTAGTTGTATCCTTTACCTCCACCAACTAACGGTTAAACACAAAGTTCGGTTTTAACTGATGTAGTTGCATCCGTTACCTCCACCAGCTAACGGTTAAACACAAAGTTCGGTTATAACTGATGTAGTTGTATCCTTTACCTCCGCCTTCTATCGGTTAAACACAAAGTTCGGTTATAACTGATGTAGTTGTATCCTTTACCTCCACCAACTATCGGTTAAACACAAAGTTCGGTTTTAACTGATGTAGTTGCATCCGTTACCTCCACCAGCTAACGGTTAAACACAAAGTTCGGTTTTAACTGATGTAGTTGTATCCTTTACCTTCCTTACCGACGGTTAAACACAAAGTTCGGGTTATAACTGATATAGTTGTATATTTTACCTCCACCAACTAACAGTTAAAACAAATTTCGGATATAACTGATGTAGTTGTATCATTTACCTTCACCAACTGACGGTTAAACACAAAGTTCGGTAATAACTGATGTAGTTGCCTCCGTTACCTCCACCAACTAACAGTTAAAACAAAGTTCGGTTATAACTGATGTAGTTGTATCCTTTATCTCCTCCAACTAACGGTTAAACACAAAGTTCGGTTATAACTGATGTAGTTGTATCCTTTACCTTCACCAACTAACAGTTAAAACAAAGTTGGGTTATTATTGATGTAGTTGTATCCTTTAACTTCACCTACCGACGTTTAAACACAAAGTTCTGTTATAACTTATATACTTGTATATTTTACCTCCAACAACTAACGGTAAAACACAAATTTCAGTTAAAACTGATGTAGTTGTATCCTTTAACTCCACCAACCGACGTTTAAACACAAAGTTCGGTTATAACTGATGTAATTGTATCCTTTACCTTCACCAGCTGACGGTTAAACACAAAGTTCGGTTTTAACTGATGTAGTTGCATCCGTTACCTCCACCAGCTAACAGTTAAACACAAAGTTCGGTTATTTTATACATCAAATAATTATAGATTAATGGGTTCGATGTTCTACCTATCACGTAAAGTGTTTAGTTCAAGTGTAATTAAACTAGGGTCAAAGTACATCGAGATGAATACTTGGTATTAGAGGGAAGCATTCCGATAATTACACACATACAATCGTGCCATTTTTCTGATTGTCCTATTTCAGGAGCCACAGATTTCGTAGGCCTGAACTTTTACACCTCCAACTTGGCAGAATACCATCTGGACGACACATATAAACGGGATTACTATTCCGATATGGACGTCAGATTGTCTAAAGACCCGTCATGGCTTGGGTAAATATTGTTAGCAAACCATCACAAGTATTTTTGGTATGTTACATGTGTAAAGTATCTTACTTTTTTCACATCGAAAGGAACTGATGTTATAACATTATGATATGTGGGAAAAGGAAAACGAGGTCGCATTTACATTTTCCAGGGTTTTTCGGCAAAATGTGTCAGTGTTTACTTTATATGAATCGTATAAGAAAAGCTTTTCCCATTCCCTGCTACATTTGTTCACAAAAACTGTACGTAATGCAAACTCGTTTTAAAGCTGGCAATGACACTGCATTTCAAATGCTATTCAATGTGTTTCGAGCATCTCAAAACGTGCTCTTCTACGAAGAATGGTCAATTTTCAAATTCTCATAAAACTCCACAATATACAGTGTAACAGAATTAATCGAACTGATATATCGCTAGAGACTTACAGCAATACGTTACCGAGTCCTGGATTCGAATCCTGATTTTGTGGCTTGAATAAAGAAATAGCATATATTTCATATCACTGCGGCAATATGACATTGTGTTATCTTTTGTTATTCAAATAATAAGGTCCGGGTCATCATGGCTAACTGTCACTCCATTTGGAATTCGCCGTATGCTGAACTGGATCAAGGATCACTACGGTGACGTTCCTGTGTTTATAACAGAGAATGGCATTTCTGATAGAAACGGATCCCTGTCTGACGATCATAGAATCTTCTACTACAAACACTACATCAATGAGATTCTAAAGGGTTAGTTGTTTTGTTGTTGTTGTTGTAGTTGCTTTTGTCTTTGCGATGTATGTTCGTTCTCATCTTTTCAAAATTAGAGGGAGCCTTTCGAGGCAGCAATGTAGAAAGGCAGAGTTAGGGAAGGATCTTCTTATTTTGTCTGATTTTGTTACTGCAGCTATTCGCCTAGACCACGTGGACGTACGTGGGTATACTGCGTGGTCCCTGATGGATAATTTTGAGTGGTCTAGGGGATACTCGGAGAGATTTGGTCTCCACTATGTCGACTTCACTGACCCAGCGCGACCCCGGATACCTAAAGACTCTGCAAAATACTATCGACAGCTCATCGAAAATAATGGATTGTTCAAGGCCACGTCACCTTCAACACCCGCACTGTCAGGACGTGGACCCCTGATACAAGAGAAGAAATTCCTGTACGGAATATTCCCACAAGGCTTTGCCTGGAGTGTAGCAACTGCTTCTTACCAGGTCGAGGGAGGCTGGCAAGCAGATGGTAATACATCTTGATATTACGAATACAAAAGTATACTTTTATTCCATATTCTAGTTGTTAAAACATAGAAAACCACAATTAAATAGATTTTGAAAATATTCTTAGATTTTACCTTCATTTCTTTGGCATGGTTTTAACATATTTTTAACATTTATTTTCTTTTGATCTAAATACTTTATTTTTTCTTAACTTAGCTATATCTTTTGTTCTTTTGATCTGATTGTGTGTATTTGGTGGTAAATGATACTTGTCAGATGATATACGTGATACACTGCAGTGCTGATCCTGAATTCCAACTGGTTCGCTGTGACTCCGGTTTGGTTATTGTCGGTATATGTTTGATCAAGTACATTGCAGTATTCCATTGACGTGATATTGATAGCAGATATGATGGAGTACAATTATACGCCAAAAAGCTTACAGAATCTAATCAGATATAAGAAATCAGCCTAGCTATAAATTTTATTTTGTACATGAGGCTATATAAAACTCACATACAGTCGTGGTTAAAATGTTGAAAAATAAAAATATAAAGTTTTTTAATCAGGATTGTCTCCAGTACTAAGTCTTAGTAGAGACATACAATTTTAGTAGACTTTTTCTTTGTTGGAATGGTAAGTGAAAATAGTGAAAGGTTGGAGTGTAAAATAAATCACAAAATGAGTTGTTACTTGCACATTTAACCAGTTACCAACAATATTAACAAAGTTATGGAGCGTGTTTGCACACCTTTGGATCAGTCAATGGTAATAGTATCGTATTGAGTCTTAAGGGTAAAGTCTCTTACGAGTAAATTTGTGTCTATATTTCTATTTTGATATCGATTCTTGCAGGTAAAGGCCCCAGTATCTGGGACACGTTCTCTCATCAAGGTCGCGTGGACAATAATGACACGGGCGATGTGGCGTGTGACAGTTATCACAAATACATGGACGACGTCCAGCTTCTCAAAAACATGAAGGTATGTTTCTTCTCGCTGGGTTTTCAGTTAAACATTGTATAACCCGAAACATGTTATATTAGGCAATAAATCATTAAGTATCAGTATCATTAACTTAAAGTGTATGAGGATGTGATGAGGAAAATTGGGATTAAACTATTTTTCTAAAGATTTACCCTTGTCATAATATGAGAGCATTACGTCACAGAAGTGTTAACATTTAGATAAAGTTAATAGCATTACATTAAACAATGTGACATTAAATGGAATCTTAATCAATTTTCTATTCAACGTTTTTAACCTTTCAATGCCATAGGATATCAATATAGCATTTCGTTTGTTTTTCTCATGTTGGGTCCCGAGCATGATATGTAAACGTTTTATAACCCACAGGTGACACACTATCGGTTCTCCCTGTCATGGCCCCGGATATTACCGGACGGCACGACACGCTATGTAAACCAGGCAGGGGTGGATTATTACAACCAGCTGATAGACGCCCTGTTGGACGCTGGGATCACACCCATGGTCACACTGTACCACTGGGACCTACCTCAGGCTCTACAGGACAGAGGCGGCGGCTGGCTAAACGCATCAACAGCTGACCTTTTCGCCAACTTTGCAAGACTAGCCTTCGAAACATTTGGAGACAGGGTAAATACAACATATCACCTGGTCATTCTGAGTACATACAAAGTGTCACGTGCAACTAGCAGAATCACTTTTGTGTTGAAAAATTGAGTGATGATGGGTTTTTTTGCTTTATTGCGACAAATTTAAACATTTCAATTATTATTCCAAGACAAAAAATGCAAATATATGAGCTGTACCGCTTAATTGATCGTTGGCAATATAAACACCACTCATTTCAAATTAACTTAGAAATCCACTTCATACAGTCTTCTCGTATATTGGTTATATTCGTAATGCATATTAAAGGAGTTTTATGCTGATGAATGATAATTTAATTTCAATTTATAAAAGGTAAAAGTTTGGATCACCATTAACGAGCCTTGGGTGGCTTCAGTGCATGGCTATGGTTATGGAACTATGGCCCCGGGAATTGTAAGCCCCGGGGACGGCCTGTACATTGCTGCCCATAATCTCATCCGGGCACACGGGAAGGCATACAGAGTCTATCAAAATGAGTTTAGTCAGGTCCAAAATGGTATGTATACGTTGTAAAAAGGATTCTCCCTTGCATTGAAGTTTCACTTTTTATGTTTTAAAGCAAATTTGTCATTCACAAAGAAGCCAGTATAGAGCAGAAGGATGCGCTTGACACATTATTACTGTACCCTTTGATCTACATTATATCCTCTTGTTCTAACCACTTAAGACGAGTTACGGAAACAAATTTTCCGTGAAATAAAACGATGATTTTCCAGATATTTTCTATGCCAATTGTTCTAAGGAAAAGAAAACTGCTATCAGTCAAAGGTCAGAATCGAATCAGACTGTGTTCTGCGTCATTTAATTGCTTAGATGATACTTGAAAGACAAAAAAGATATTCAGACCTGGTTGCAGCATTTGGGCCTCAGTATTGTCTGACGTCTCCTCACCTTGTGTTGAAGGTGTCTCTATAGGCACCCGTCATTATAGGACTTAAACTGTTTTTACGAGGACGTCAAACGCTGTGCTAAAAACGAAAATAAAAATAAAAAACTTTGTATATTTTACATTTCACAACGAAACCTGTCTTAGAGAACACCTGCCGGTAATTGCCATATCAATGATAACACACATGTTGTTAACTTGTAAAATTGTTTGTCTCTAATTGTTGTCTTTTCTGTTTTCATTTTGTATATTTTTGAACATTTTTTTCGGAAGCACATTGACGCTGTCTGTGTCTCCTTGTCTCCAGTTGTCTGAAACAAATGGTTTCCAAATTATAACATTGAAACAATTAATTCTATGTTATCAAAATTTGAATGCATTATAACGCAAGAGGAAGGAAATAATCTATTGGTATTGGGCTTACTTAGTCAAAGATCAAGGTCACAGTAGATACAAAAAGACTGAAAATTTTGAAAAAAAATAGTTTCGAGTTGCTATCTCTTGAACGATAATTCATATCTATCATATTTAAGAATGTATATGTATATATAGCTAAGAAATTCGTCACATACATTAGCATCATTTTCAAAAACTGAACCCTTTCTACATTTACTAATTTGTGCTGTTTTAGGGACTGTGGGCATTGTCTGTAACTCTCGCTGGTACGTCCCAAAGTCGGAGGGTCGTCCGCAGGACCTAGCAGCCACCGAGCGTGCTCTTCAATTTAACCTAGGATGGATTGGCAATCCTATTTTAATCAACGGCGACTACCCCGACATCATGAAATGGCAGATCGGAAACAAAAGTGAAGCACAGAATCTAAAACAAAGCAGACTGCCAGAGTTCACGTCAGAGGAGAAAAAATATATAAAGGGTAAAAATCGAAATAATCAAATTTCCGAAAAAAAAGTTTGAAGATAAAAATGTTGTGAAAATTAACATTAATGCAATCTGTGCCTTTATAATCTGGATGATATTAAGGTGAGGTTTGTGTAGTGATGTGAGGCATTGTAATTAATGCTGGGGATTCTAGAAAATAGATGAAAATGATGAGGAAATGTCTTTCCCTGAAACTTTAAAACAAGAAACACAGTAAGTTTTGTGGTCATATCTTGTTCTTCGTGATAGCGGATGTAATTATATATATGTTACAAATCAAATGTTTTTGTAACTTTTCAGCTACATCTCATAAAAGAGTAGCTGATAATTGTCTTCTGGTAAGTACAATGTTTATGTTTTAGTGATGATGGTGAATTCAAACTATGAAATGATAATTTTCCAGGTTCAGCTGATTTCATCGGACTGAATTTCTACACCTCAGACGTCGTAGAGCACTACGAAGACCCGGCCGTGCCACACGATTACTACTCGGATATGGACGTCAGAGTTTCTAAAGACCCTTCCTGGCTTGGGTATAACAACTCGTAAGTATAAGAAACTATCATTTATCTATTCTTTGAAATGGCATAGACTTTTTATTCAGCACGAAAACAAAGAGGCCGGTCGGGACATAGGAATGACACATTAGTCACAGTCCTTATTGTATTTTATCTAGGCAAAGAGTTTCAATGCGTTAAATGCTTCACGGCAACTTATCGCACAAATTGTAATCTGAATACAAAGAGCTAATGGTAGATTCACTTATTTATCGCATATTGCATTTTGAAATCTGCTTTAAGGACTTTTTACTAATCCTGGTTTGAAAATTTCGGCCAAGGCCATTGACGTCACAGGTTTTTTTTCTTTTCTGATGACCATCTGTTATCGCACCAGGTCGGGATCTGATTGGCTGAAGGTGACCCCTACTGGAATACGACGGATGCTGAACTGGATGAAGGATCAGTATAAGAATGTTCCTATATTTATCACGGAGAACGGAGTATCTGACAGGAATGGATCACTGCTAGACGACAACAGAATCTCCTACCACAAAAATTACATCAATCAAGTCCTCAAAGGTTACTTAAATTAGCATGTATCTAGGATTGATATGAAAAGATAAGATATGATGTGGTCCTAAGAATACGTTAATATCTTCTGAATTATGCAACACTAATAACAAAATTAATTAATTGATAAACTGGGCACTCAAAATCAAAAACAAAATCTAAAAAGTGAAATGGACCTTTCTTGAATAAATAAATAATAAGTTTCAAGTTATGGTAGACCTACGTCACATATTTTTTTTTTTACACAAGTGATAAAGAAATATCGTTTTATAAAATCTACGTTATTTGATTAAAATTCTCATTTTTGATGCATTTCTTGAGGTATCTTACTTGATTTTATTACATATTCCATGTTTATCATTATTTATTTCACAATGACATCATACTAATTAGTTATTAATTCCCATAATAAACATTAACAAATCTCCAGAGTTAAGAAAAAACGGGGCCATTTCCTTTGTCGTTTTTTGAGCACATTTTTTCAGACAGTGTGTATCATCGCTATTTACCCAAAGGTGCTAGGTATTGACTATTATAAGGCAATGTGCTGAACCATATTTTCATATTTTAGGACCCAAAAGCGCTTACTTAATATTAGTTCCTGAATGATCAGCCATTGAGAATAATTTAATTAATATGTAACTAAAGTCTACAAGTATAGCCGCATATAACTTCAACGTGTTGTGAACCATTTCATGATGCCGTGCAACGTTAAAATATTTTATAAAATATATTGATTTACAACATGTGGTTCATATTTTGTAAGGCTACCTTCACTGTACAACAGCAAAGTTTGATGCTCAAAACAACAATACTAGTTCAGCAGCCTACAACTTGTTAATATATAATAAGGAGGTCTCTCCATCGGCTCCTGTTTTGTTTGATTGACCCTCCTCAATTATTAAAAACACTGATTTCATCGAGAAGCAGAAGAAACGTTGGGTTCAATGTAGGGTAATGATTACTGTTTTGCAGCAAATATAATATGCATATGAATAGAAGTAATGCCTCACGCATTTCCTAATCTGATGTCACAGATAAAACTCGTCAGCATATAATTATATTCTTTCAGTGTTCTTGTGAAAAATTAAAAGCTATTGATACGTTGCAATAATAGTCAGTCCCGAAAGTAATAACATTTCGACGGTCTCTGGTCACCAGCAATTGAAACAGTTCAATCCCGTCATAGTTCCGAATTTCCGTATATTTGTTTTCTCAAAAGTCACCAACACTGCTTTAATATATTCATTAATTGTTCTAAAGGGAAAAATTAAGACATTCTCTATGCATTTATTTGAATTCCAGCTATTCGTCTGGACAAGGTGGACGTTTCTGGGTACACCGCGTTTTCCCTGATGGATAACTTTGAGTGGTCAAGGGGATACTCCGAGAGATATGGCCTCCACTACGTCAACTTCACTAACCCAGCGCGACCCAGGCTGCCTAAGGCATCGGCCAGGTACTACAGAAAGCTGATCAAGGATAACGGTTTCCTGGAACTTGAGTCTAAACCTATTCCTCCGTCAGAGGGAAATGAATTCTACTACGGAAGTTTCCCGGAACATTTTGCGTGGAGCGCCGCGACGGCAGCATACCAAGTAGAGGGAGCATGGAATGAAGACGGTTAGACACTGTTACTGTTAACCATTAGGTCTACGGAAACATTTGAAGGAGATGTAGGATTGTGGTGAAACAAATTATTCGAGTTTTTAAAATGATTGTATGCTGGTAATGTTTACACTAGTGGAGTATGTTGGTAACATAATCAGTAACAGCATGAAATATACAGAATAAAAGCGTAAATAGGAGAGTATCGTATTGAACACCCTTGGCTCGCGAAGTTGGGCAGGTACATGCGTAGCATTTGAAAAAAAAACAATATTCAAGCTAATTTATTTATTGATCGACCGACTCATTTGTATTTTGTTTTAGAGTATAAAATGTTTTATAAACCAATATTTTACTAATTAAGGTAATTTTACAACCGAGAAAAAAACATCAATAAAAAATGTTTTATACTTATGACGTCAATCGTGATTTTAACGTAATGGGTATATTGATGTCATGTTAAAAATATCTAGTGGAACTGATCATTATATTTTAATATGTTACAGGTAAGGGACAGAGTATCTGGGACACGTTCTCTCATCAAGGTCACGTGGACAGCAGTGACACGGGCGATGTTGCGTGTGACAGTTACCACAAATACATGGACGACGTCCAGCTTCTCAAGGACATGAAGGTAACACGAGGGACCCTGGTGCTACTTGAAGGAAGCTTCTCAAGTCCAGGGTTTTCCTTTAACATATTCAATTGTTCTTGACGTTTGTTTTTTTCCCGACTTTACACTGATATTTTATTTTTTGTATCCGGAGTATCTTGTACAGCCTTTTTCGCATATATTTTGTACATTTTGTCACGGTACATTTATACATTACTTCTTTGGAATAATCAATCGATAGCGAAAAACAATGTCCAGTATATGTATTAACAGAAGAAACATATAATCGTAGTCAAAAAGTATGTCGGAAGGAATATTTGGGATGGTAATTCCAAGTAGCCGTTGTCCCCTTCTTGTATATGCTTTAACAACAAGGAATAATCGTTTTCCAAATAATTATTTGAATCCTTTCTCACGTTCTCTGGATTTAACAGTGACACAATTATTAATAATTTTCCATATTAATTTATTGCAGCCATACCTAAAGCAATTCCTGATGTTGATATGACGTTGTTTTGACAATTATTATGAAATTTAACAGGTGACACACTATCGGTTCTCCCTGTCATGGCCCCGGATATTACCTGACGGCACGACACGTAGTGTGAACCAGTTGGGTTTGGATTATTATAACCAGTTGATAGACGCCCTGTTGGACGCTGGGATCACACCCATGGTCACACTGTACCACTGGGACCTACCTCAGGCTCTACAGGACAGAGGCGGCGGCTGGCTCAACGCCTCAATAGCTGACGTCTTTGCCGACTACGCCAGACTTGCCTACCAGAAGTTCGGGGACAGGGTGAATATCAAAACGCATAATTCACTAAAGTGTCTCGAGTCGGGATGCTCTAACATCTTTTCAAGTTCTTTTGTATATATTCTATAATAAAGGGTTGTGATTGATCATGTTACATATTTTAAACACAGAGATTTTTTTTATATGAAGGGTGAATTGTGAGATTCTACAGTTTATATTTGAAATTAGATGTAATGTTATAAGTTCTTACAAGTTGGATACCGGGTCTACCACATACTCATTGTTATCAATGAACTCACTTTTATCTATACCAAACGAACTATTTTACTTTTACTCGTTACACAAGAGCTTATGTACGGCGTGATGTGACACTGATAACTCGTGAGGTCTTTAAATCGCTTCCCACCTATCTGTACGTCGTGTACAGATGATTGCCTGCCTACTTCTGGTACATGCGAATGTTAAAGTTTACGCGAATTAATCTAACTATTAAACATTACGCGATATTTTGAGAATCTACATTATTGCTCGGTGACTAATGTAAAAGTCTGCTTTCACGGTCACTAATTTTTGCGGATTCCTTAGATGTGCTACGATACAATGTACTTGTGTCCGTGAAAACTGTGAAAATTAAGGCCCCGCCTAAAGCAACCATTACCTTATCTCATGGAAGTGTTCATACTCATTCTGATTTCATAGGTTAAGACGTGGATCACACTGAACGAGCCGTGGGTGGTATCTGTCCAGGGGTACGGACAGGGCATCAAAGCCCCAGGGATCGTCAGCCCCGGGGACAAAGTCTACATCGCCGCTCACAATCTCATCAGGGCCCACGGCAAGGCTTACAGGCTCTATGAAAAAGAGTTCAAGAACACCCAACAGGGTATGATAGATACACGTCAATTTAGATTTTTATATAAATGGTCTTTGTTGTTTGACCAGAACGTGTTGTGAAATGACTTATTTTAGAGAAAATGTATGTCGATTTTGAAATTAAGGTAAGTTGTATAATTAATATAGTCAGGTTGTCTCCAGATTTTCTTTCGTAAAGAAGATTAAAAGACAGTTTTATTTGTAATTGTCGATAGGTGAAATCGAAACCAGATTTGTCTGTACTCATAGACCGGTGGCAATTCTGGGTTCGTATTTGTAGTATATAATGCAGGTTTGCCTGTTCCCATAGACCGGTATCAAATATTCCGGGTTCGTGTTTGTAGTATATAATGCAGTTTTGTCTGTACCAATAGACCGGTGGTAACTCTAGGTTCGTGTTTGTAGTATATAATGCAGGTTTGTCTGTATACGTACCCATAGACCGGTGCTAATTCTAGGTACGTGTTTGTAGTTTATAATACACGGTTGTCTGTACCCAAAGACCGGGGCTAATTCTAGGTACGTGTTTGTAGTTTATAATACACGGTTGCCTGTACCCAAAGACCGGTGCTAATTCTAGGTACGTGTTTGTAGTATATAATCAAACAGGTTTTTCTGTGTACTCATAAACGTAATTATTCCAATTAATTTTACTTTAGCCTTACTTCAATAACGATATGATACTGTGCTTATGACATTTTTAGTTTACGTAAAACAGAGTGCCTGAACAAGGCATACACGCGAGTACAAAGGCCTTTATACTAATGTAATTAAGTTATATGAGTATACATATACATATATCACAGCCTTGTTTATTGATAAATACACCCCGGAATCACTTTCAGATACATATATACGCAGTTGTAAACCGTAAACACGTGACATATAGATCTAGTGTAGTTATGTCTTAGTACATTAAGTGTACATTGTTGTATTTAACAATGAAAATGTTGTGAATCCAGTTAGAGTCACCAGCATAAATGGTATGACGGATAAGTCCGTGGTGATATGTTACCGGGAATCTTGAAATGGTGAATTTTACTATCAGCTTTGATCATATCATTATCCGATTTCTCAAATATACAAGTTATAAATAACAAATTAATTACGGAATTCTATATAGAATCGCCAGTTTACACATTAGTTTCTCCGGGCAGTTACAAAGCTTGCTTTCAGACCTATACATCTCGAAAACAAATTACCGATTTTCGTCGGATTTTCGACGTTCTGAGGTTATAATATATATCGAATGTACAGAAAACATATATTTTTACTCAAGTTGACCTTTTATGTACACGAATTTATCCATGTATCTGAACAAAACAGTCTGCTAACTGATAAAAAATCAGTTACATGATTCCTTTTACATAATATATCCATTGTGTGCATGTGGACAACATTGAGAAATGTCAGTCCCCTATATTAAAAAGGAGACTCCTGTCGATTTCTACGAAAGGATTTTAAATACCGTAAAGCTGTGTCTTAAGCTCAGATTTTCCCTCGTTTAAAGGTAACATCACAACTACACTGACATTTATAGACATTTATTTATAGCGTAGGTAACTGAGCTTATGTTCTTTCGTTTTACTCAAATTTCTGGATTATCAAAAGAATTTGGAAACGATTTTTCATAATTTCTTTTTTACGGTCATAACATGCAATTATGGAAATAGTAACCGAATCCACGTTTCTCTCCGTTTTGATATTACGGACAATCCTAGTTACGACCCATCTATAACATCTGAATATGACTACTTTGTAGACAGTACAAAGCAACGTGATGTTAGACGACATAATGTTGCTAAAAAAGAAAAAGAAAATTATGAAAATATCTTTTTAAAAGGTAAACAATCAGATAATATAAATCGTTTTCCCCATCAATGTATTGAGGGAGACAATGTTCAAAATATCTGAAGATGAAAAACCAAGTTAAGGAGGCTTTTTGCGTGAATATCTGTTTCCAGGGAAAGTAGGCATCACATGTAACTGTGACTGGGAAGTACCTAAAAGTGAGAGCGTTCCCTCCGACCGCGATGCTGCCGAGCGTGCACTCCAGTTCCACTTTGGATGGTTCGTCAATCCAGTGTTAAATAACGGAGACTACCCTGACGTCATGAAATGGCAGATCGGGAACAAAAGTGTCATTCAGAAATTAAAACATAGTAGACTGCCGGAATTCACACAAGAGGAAACACGTTATTTAAAGGGTACGTTATCAGAGAAGGCAGTTGCACCAAACAACAGAAGTAAAACCGATTCGAAGAAACCCAGTGCTTAACATGTAGAAGACATTCCATTCACTATAAACATCTGAAAGCAAAACATAGTTGCCACATATATAAAATTACCAAATCATTCACATAATCATGTCATTGCACATTAATCGAAATGATACAAGTGAAGCAAATTTGAGGTCAAATTTGTATAATAATTGTTTTTACTTTGTTTCCGTTTTCAGGTGCCACCGATTTTCTAGGTCTGAATTTCTACACCTCTAACCTAGCGGAAAATTATGTCGACCCTGCAACTCCACGGGATTATTATGGAGACATGGATATCAAGCTCTCTAAGGACCCGTCATGGCTAGGGTGAGCTTTATTGCAAACCAATAGCGTTTATCATATGAAGTAAATTATCTTCATAAACAGAGGCTATTCCTGAAATATATATGACATAAAGACAATATTTGTGACCTCCACAATCAACAATACTTATTTACTGGGGCTGTCTCAAATTATTCAACACCAGCTATTTATTATAATAATAATGAAGGATTAAGCGTGTATCCAGATATCTGACGGGCAGTTTGTCCGTTTAGGTTTTAATGCTCGTCGATATCTGTAGTTGTTGAATGATAATAACTAATCTGTAGTTTCTTGGGTACTTCAGAGAATGGCATGGAACATATTCTGCGTGAGTAAATGTATATGGCTATGTTATACAACTTCCTTTGTCGAATAGTAGATCCCTTATGAAAATGAATGATATTACCCGTTTTCTATTTAAACCAATGATGTTTGATAAACTGTACAATCAGAGCACCAAACTAAGCCTATATCAAACCTCTCTTACTTACACTATACCGCACGTGATAGGTCCGGGTCATCATGGCTAACTGTCACTCCATTTGGAATTCGCCGTATGCTGAACTGGATCAAGGATCACTACGGTGACGTTCCTGTGTTTATAACAGAGAATGGCATTTCTGATAGAAACGGATCCTTGTCGGACGATCATAGAATCTTCTACTACAAACACTACATCAATGAAGTTCTAAAAGGTCAGTGAGTTAAATAAAATAGCAGGAAAATATCCAGGATACAGGATAAAAGTATTGATTTCTCGTTCATCTGATATGGACATTTTATGGAACCTGGTTTTCCAACTCGCTCACGTTTTCTTGAAACCTTGAAATCGCAGTCCGATTGAAGTCAATTAGTATTGTAGAATCAAACCAAAAACATCAGGGGAGAGAAAAAAGGCAAGTCAACAAGATTTTCATGCACACCTTTTGCAGAGCGTATACTTGCGTCTACGTGTCCATCCGACCGTTCGTACGTAGATCCGTCTGTCATCATTTGACTTGGCCGCAGGTCCTGACTAAATTCGAAAAAAAAAATGAAAATTCATACAAATATTTTTGAAATCAATCACTCTAATCCGTTAAAGTACAAGATAATGATCAAAGCTACGGCATGTATTCTTGATGGTGATTGGTGAATTGGCTCGTCTATGCATTTCTGACAAAGTTATCAAACAAACTATCGTACGCACGTCTTTTAACATTCGGTTATGTCTGCATGTTACTAATTACATTTTTCAACCAAATTTTAGGAAGTTTTACAAAGTATTGATACCATCAATCTTTTGAAACCAGTCAAATGTCAAGGGTGTATTTTTCAGGTCAAAACTATAACTGCTAAATCAATAAATGATGTTTGGAAAATTGATATGTTAACGCATCCCTGGCTACGATTTTAAGTTTTAATCGATCGTCCGAAAACTTGCTCAACATTTCTCATCACGATAATCCCCGATGCTTGTTTACGCATACACATGCAAGCTCAACTGCGGTTACTTAGGCATAGTATTTAGATGAGTATGTACACCATGCTATCGTTGTGACTCCCACGCTGATGTTTATCAAGTACCACTTACAGTTGGAGGCAAACTCATCACACATCTGCTAATAATCACAAATCCATTTTATCATTATATTTATGGAGATAATAATGTTAGATTTCTTTTTTTAACTAAGACATTTATTGTAATTCAGCTATTCGCCTAGACCATGTGGACGTACGTGGGTATACTGCGTGGTCCCTGATGGATAATTTTGAGTGGTCTCGGGGATACTCGGAGAGATTTGGTCTCCACTACGTCGACTTCACTGACCCAGCGCGACCTAGGACGCCTAAGGCCTCAGCCCACTACTACAGACACATCATCCAGAATAACGGCTTCTTCTACGGTACAGACATTGGACCAGCTAGCTCAATCACGGTGGCTATGGTTCAAAATAAAACCCTACCAAAAGAGAAAGTGTTCGTGTACGACCAGTTCCCCGAGGGGTTTGTCTGGGGTGTGACAACCTCCGCGTATCAGATAGAGGGAGCCTGGAATGAGGACGGTAATGGGTTTTTTGTTTTTGTGCAATAGTGGTATTTTGGAGTTAGCTAAATTTGCATATTCGTCAAAGACATTTTGCTTGAGTGTTATTTTCATAGTTAATGACGATGTGAAAAAATCATTGCATGAAGTCACAGCTGATTAGGACATTGTTTTTTTTCTAAAGACTCACCGCATGTAATAACAAACAATCGAAGTAGAAAAATACATGATGTGCTGTAAACAAGATATGGTATAAAAGTTGTATCAGAACACTTGATCAGTATATTGATTCGGGGTCTAAAATAGACCTACATGTTATGGTAGATGATCGTGTCCGTTAGATACACACAGTACCTCAGATCGCGCAGTTCTCTTGTGCTGAAATGTCATTTCAAGTTCGGGTTCATAAAGAGCACAGTAATAGACATTAACGTCCGCCATTTTACAGAAACAGAATCGTGTGTGTGAAGTAGCAGGACAAGATTAGTGGTTGCCTTCATTGACTGACTTGTTATACTGCTAACACGTGATCAGCAAATATGTCCTATCATAAAGAGATTGGATGATATATCGAGACTTAAAGACCAATAGATAAACTAAGAAACATTAGGACATTGACAAAATGTTTGTGATGGAGCAAGGTGGCAGATAAAAGGCATTATATACATGTTCAATATATTCCTACAAATGAGAGTCTTTCTCTTGACATGTTGTTGTACAGGTAAAGGAGAAAGTATCTGGGATGTGTTCACACACCACCGTCAGTCTCCCAACGATGACACAGGAGATGTCGCCTGTGACAGCTACCACCTTTGGCGGGATGATGTCATGGTATTAAAACAGTTAAAGGTAAAAGTAAAATGATCCTGGTTCAGATGATGTGTTATGACTCAATGGTATTTATGTACAACATTTTTCAATTCTGCAAGTGAGTGAAGGAATACTTCTAATACTTTTCATATTATTTTTGTTATCACTACACGCACTATTAAGGTCCGAAGTGCAAGTTCAAAAGCTTTCATATGAGATTAAAAAAGATAAACAGGGTATCAAAAGCGCATTACCTGTCACTTTCATCAATAGAACACTCTCATGATTTTGAACTAACATTTATTTATAAGATCTGTTCAGGAAATGGAAAACAACAAAGATATCATTTATCTCGGCAGACAAGTGGACATAGTGGCAATATTAGTAACATACGAACAATTAAAATATCATATGCATAATCCCTGCCAAAAGAACGGCCTTGAAAGAACTAAGCATATCCTGTGTGTAAACAATCCTAATTCCAATTATGTCTTTAAGAAAAGTTCTATATTTGAATTTGAAAACTCTCAATGCAATAGGCTAAAATCTGATGTCATCACTCCAAGCAAGTAACCAGTTCTTAAACGAAATCCATTTACAGTTCATGTATTTGATTTTACCCAATCATGTATTGATAAAAAATAAATAAAAAAAATACTAAATCTTTAAATAAATTTTTAAAAAAGAAATTAAAGTAACAATTTACTTTTTAAAAGAAAAAAAATAAACCAGCTCTGTTTTTATATAATTTGTTGTAGATATCTCATTACCGCTTCTCTATCTCCTGGTCTCGTGTTTTACCTACGGGAGCTGCTAGCAACTCGAGTAAGGCGGGCCTCCAGTACTATAACCAGTTGATTGACGCCTTAGTGGACGCTGGGATTACACCTGTGGTAACGCTCTACCACTGGGACCTGCCCAGGGCCTTGAAGCAGAGTGGGGGCTGGCTCCATGATGATATCATCGAATATTTCATAAACTTTGCTGACCTCTGCTTCTCGAGATTTGGCGATCGGGTAAATACCTTGTGTCCATTTATTTACATCATACGCTGTCAATTGTTTACCTTTGTTCCTATAGCATATCTTAATACGTTAGATCCTTATTTCTAACCTCAGAACATTTTCCCCGACTTTATACCACTGTCTCCCTCACCTTTTACCACTGTCTCACTAACTTTTTACCACTGTCTCCCTCACTTTTTACCACTGTCTTCCTCACTTTTAATAGCTGTCTCCCTCACTTTTTACCACTGTTTACCTCACTTTTTACCACAGCCTTCCTGACTTTTTAAACATGTCTCCCTCACTTTTTACCACTGCCTCCCTCACTTTTTAAGATTGTCTCCATCACTTTTTTCAGTGCCTCCCTCACTTTTACCACTTTCTTTCCCACTTTTTACCACTGCCTTCCTCACTTTTTACCACTGCCTCCCTCACTTTTTAAACATGTCTCCATTACTTTTTACCACAGCCTCCCTCACTATTTACAACTGTCTTTCTCACTTTTTACCACTGCCTCCCTCGCTTTCTACTACTTTCTTCCCCCTCCCCTCTTTTTTAACAACCGTCTCCCTAACTTTTAACCACTTTCTCACCACTTCTAACCACTTTCTCACCACTTTTTCAACAGTCGCCCTCACCTTTTAGGACTTTCTCCCAAACTTTTAACAACCGCCTCTCTCACTTCTAATCACTGTCTTCCTCACTATTTACAACTGTCTTTCTCACATTTTTCCACTGTCTCCTTCACTTTTTCAACTTTCTACTTCACTTTGTTTTATCTTCTCCTTTATTCTCCTTTACTTTTACCGCTGTCACCGTCACTTTTTCTTCATTCTTCTTCCTCACTTTTACCACTGTCTCCCTCCATTAGACCATGTCTCCCTCACTTCTAACCACTTACTCCCTAACTTTGTTTCCACCGTCTCCTTGACTTTTATCACTGTCTCCTTAACTTTTCGTCAACCTTCTCCCTCATTTTTTTACCAATTTCTTGCCCACTTTTTACAACTGCCTCCCTCTCTTTTTACCACTGTCTTCCTTACTTTTTGCCACTGTCTCCCTCACTTTAAATACTATCTCCCTCACTTCTTACCACTGTCTTCCTTACTTTTACCACTGTCTCCCTAGCTTTGTTTCCATCTCCTCCCCAAGTCTTGTTCCAACTTCTCCCTCACTTTTACCACTTTCTCCTTCTCTTTTCGTTCACCTTCTCCTTCACTTTTGAAGATTTTCTCCTCATTTATTACAACTGTCTCCTTCACTTCTTACCACTGTCTTCCTTACTTTTACCACTCTCACCCTTGCTTTGTTACCACATCCTTCCTAACTCTTTTTCCAACTTCTCCTTCACCTTTACTACTATCTCCCTCACTTCTTACCACCTACTCACTAACTTTGTTTCCACCGTCTCCTTCACTTTTACCACTGTCTCATTCTCTTTCGTCACTTTTTACAACTGCCTTCCTCACTTTTTACCACTGTCTCCTTCAATTATTTCAACATTCTCCTTCACTTTGTTCTACCTTCTCCTTATTCTCCTTTACTTTTACCGCTGTTTCCCTCACTTTTTCTTCAGTCTTCTCCCTCACTTTTACCACTGTCTCCCTCTATTAAACCATTTCTCCCTCACTTCTAACCACTTACTCTCTAACTTTGTTTCCACCGTCTCCCTCACTTTTACCACTGTCTACTTAACTTTTCGTCAACCTTCTCCCTCATTTTTTACCATTTTCTTCCCCACTTTTTACAACTGCCTTCCTCTCTTTTTACCACTGTCTTCCTTACTTTTTTCCACTGTCTCTCTCACTTTTATTACTGTTTCCCTCACTTCTTACTACTTTCTTCCTTACTTTTACCACTGTCTTCCTAGCTTTGTTACCACCTCCTCCCTAACTCTTTGTCCCACTTCTCACTTACTTTTACCACTGTCTCCTTCTCTTTTCTTTCACCTTTTCCCTCACTTTTGAAGACTTTCTACCTCACTTTTTACGACTGTCTCCCTCACTTTTAACCACTTTCTCCTCCACTTTTTACAACTGTTTCTCTTTTTTTACAACTGTCTATCTCACTTTTACCACCTTCTCCATCACCTCTTACCACCTCCTTCCTAACTCTTGTTCCAACTTCTCCCTCACTTCTAACCACCTTATCCCTAACTATGTTTCCACCGTCTCCCTCACTTTTAACCACCATTTTCCTTACTTTTAACCACCGTGTTCCCTATTTTAAACAACCGTCTTCCTCACTTTTAACTTCCGTCTTCCCTATTTTAAACAACCGTCTTCCTCACTTTTAACTTCCGTCTTCCCTACTTTTAACCTCCGTCTTCCTTACTTTTAACCACAGTCTACTTTACTTTTACCTCTGTCTCCTTCTCTATTCGTTCACCTTCTCCCCATGAAGACTTTCTCCCCCACCTTTTACAACTGTCTCCCACCTTTTTAACCACTTTCTACCCTACTTTTACAACTATCTTCCTCACTTTTTTACCCCTGTCTCTCTCACTTTTATCACCTTCTCCATTAGTTCTGACCACCGTCTCTCTAACTCTTGTTCAACTTCTCCTTCACTTTTACCTCTATCTCCCTCACTTCTGACCACCTTATCCCTAACTGTTTCCACCGTCTCCTTCACTTTTACCACTGTGTCCCTCACTTTAACCACCGTCTTCCTTAGTTTTAACCACCGTCTTCCTTACTTTAAACCACCATCTTCCTTACTTTTAACCACTATCTACCTTACTGTTAACCACTGTCTTCCCTACTTTTAACCACCGTCTTCCTTACTTTTACCACTGTCTCCCTTACTTTTAACCACCATCTTCCTTACTTTTAACCACTATCTACCTTACTTTTAACCACTATCTACCTTACTTTTAACCACCGCCTTCCTTACTTTTAACCACTGTCTACCTTACTTTTAACCACTATCTACCTTACTTTTAATCACCGTCTTCCTGACTTTTACCATTGTCTTCCTTACTTTTACCACTGTCTTCCTTACTTTTAACTACTATCTACCTTACTTTTAACCACTATCTACCTTACTTTTAACCACCGTCTTCCTTACTTTTACCACTGTCTTCCTTACTTTAACCACTGTCTTCCTTACTTTTAACCACTATCTACCTTACTTTTAACCACCGTCTTCCTTACTTTTAACCACTATCTACCTTACTTTTAACCACTATCTACCTTATTTTTAACCACCGTCTTCCTTAGTTTTTATCACCATCTTCCTCACTTTTACCACTGTCTGCCTTACTTTTAATCACCGTCTCCCTCACTTTTTCCACCGTCTCCCTGTCTTTTACCACGGTCTCCTTCTCTCATTGTCAACTTTATCCCTCACATTTACCACTGTCTTCCTCACTCTTTGCAAATGCCTCCCTTACCTTTTATCTCTGTTTTCGAAACTTTTTACCTCTATTTCAATTACTATTATCAATTTCTCATTCACTTTTTAACATTGTCTCCCTCGCTTTTTATCACTGCCTCTCTCATTTTTATCTTTGTCTCCTTCACTTTTTACCACCCTCTCCCTGAATTTTTACCACCTTTCCCTCAATTTTTACCTCAGTCTTACTCAATTCTTTCCACTTTTTCCCTTTTTATGAGCCTGTTTGTTTCATATCGTGTATCGCTTTTCCACTGTTCCTGTCTGACCGTGACCCTCTTTTTATATCTGATCTTTGAATCTGTTTTGTTCGCTTAGGTGAAGAAATGGATCACATTAAGTGATCCCTACTCAATAAGTGTGAAGGGTTATGGCGTTGGGACGCTAGCCCCAGGAGAGGTTGGTGAGAATGTGTACAAGGTAGGACACAACCTTCTTCGTGCCCACGCAGCAGTCTACAATTTGTACAGTCGTAAATACAAACCCTACTATAAAGGTGAGTCCCCGGTGTCTTCATGGTCTTGTCAAGATGAACTTCAATTTTTATGTAATTGTATGCAAAATAGAAATATGTTATACCTCATATATCCTCATTCTTACATTCTTAGGACTTAAACAGTAAGGTCTGTTTTCCTTTTCACAGGAACGGTGGGATTAGCCCTTACCGCTCCCTGGGCTGAACCCTTTAATCGTTCACACGAACAGGACATACGAACATCGGAGCGCGCTCTTCAGTTCATATTCGGCTGGTTTGCCAACCCGATATTTAAGGACGGGGATTATCCCATAGTGATGCAAACATCTGTACTTGAAAACAGTTTGAAGGAAAATAAACTGGACAGTAGGCTTCCGGAATTTACTGCCGAGGAAAAGAGGATGCTAAAAGGTAAGCATTGAGAATGTTATCATACCCCCAACAGGGATGTTGTAGAATCTGGAGTATGTTATCATACCCCCAACAGGGATGTTGTAGAATCTCGAGTGTGTTATCATACCCCCAACAGGGATGTTGTAGAATCTGGAGTATGTTATCATACCCCCAAAAGGGATGTTGTAGAATCTGGAGTATGTTATCATATCCCCAACAGGGATGTTATCATACCCCAAACAGGGATGTTGTAGAATCTAGAGTATGTAATCATATCCCAACAGGGATGTTATAGAATCTGGTTGTAGTCATAATCTTCTTTTCACTTTCTCAACACATTAACTTATAACTTACAAGCAAGAATACTGCCTCCTTCAGTTTCTTTACTTAGTATATATTAATGAGTTGTAGGTACTTTAGTAAAAATGAGGGCTCAGTTAAGGTAACTTCATTCTATAACTGCAATGAACATAATTTGGACAGCTTTTAAAGCAACAAGAAAATGAATCTTGTTTGGGTAATTTCACATTTACACAGAGACAAAGCTGAGAAAAACCAAAGATTTCTGGCACTTCCTTCCTTAGAAAATACACCTGTAGAGGAATTCCTAGTTTGGATGCACATTTTGCATTGCTCAAAGCCCCAGAGTACATTTACCTCCAGCATAGTAGCCACGAAACACAGAATATATATGCACTTCATAAGCCACATATTCAGGACTGGTAGTTAGTGATATAGTGAACTTACCATTAAACTGATTATTGCTGACCGAGGATAATTGTTTAATAAGTGACGTTTTTATTAAAAGCATTAGTATACTTTCAAAGATGTCTTACAAATAAAATCTCTGAATGTTGCATTGCTTAATCAAAATGTTGAGTTGTTTTTTTATTTTTTTATTATTTATTTTTTTTGGTTTTGTAGGATCTGCCGACTTCCTTGGACTTAATTTTTACAACTCCATCTTAGTAAAACAGAATGCAAATTTGTCGCCGAAAACTCTCGCTTATTTTTTGGATATGAATGTTGATACGAGTGCTGCCGTTGTGTGGCCAGTGTAAGTACCGAATTGATCATACCGTCCATGAATCAGTGGCCGAGTGATAATTTAATTCTTTAGAGATTTCTCACTCATACTGATCTCATACTGATACTGCATTTGTCCATGCCTGGTGCTGATATCCACGAGTTTCTAAAATATCGATTTTTTCCTTGAATATTGACATATCTGTATATGTTGGCAAAAACAGAAAATTGGAATCTGTTTTCAGCTCACCTGACCCGAAGAGCCAATTGACCGTATGCCGTGGTGCAGCGTCCGTCGTTAGTCATCTGTCAACTTATTTCTTTAAAACGCTACTTGTCCTAAACGGCTTAGTAGATTTTGACCATTTCTTTTACCTGGAACATCATTGGCCAATGGGTTGTCCATTGTAAATAAAGAAGGGTATAACCCCCACCCCTTTCTAGAGCATCTTTGGGCGAGGGACGGGGCCCAATTAGGGATATAGAGGTAACTCTTTTAAAACAAAATGTTATCCGCCTTATATTTTAAATTTGTATAAATGCAGGGTGTAGCCCCTTGAGGGCAGAGGGCTGGGACCAAATAGTGGAAATACAGCTTAATTTTAAAAAAAATCTCATTCCTCACGAGTGGAGGGTTTTTAACAAAATGTGGTTTATAGCATCCATGGCAAGTAGGACTCCTGTTTATATAAACATTGTGTGAAGACATGAAAAATACACCCATGTTCTTGGTGTCTTAACGTCACGCTACCACAATTGGTACGCTACCCAAATTCGTACTCGGTCAGAAAATAGTTCGAATACTACTTCAAAATTAAATTTGAGCATTTTCCTCTGTCAGTATAACAAAAGAAATATTTATCAACATTTCAATAATATAGTTTGTTTTCAGTGACATTTCTAAAAAGTACACGATGATTTCAAAGTAAACATAACAGAAAACCAATAAAGATTTTGTATGTCGATGAAATGTTTTGTGGTTTTTAAGGGGTTATTGATAAGCATGTTTAAATGTTGATTTCTGGTCCTTAAATCCGGATAACATAAAAGTGTATACATCAACTAGTAAAAATAAAAAAACAAGTTTCATAGCCTGTGATATGGTGTACCAATTTGAGTACTTATCATTGCCGAAAAACGGACGAAATCTCACTGCGAATATAGCGTTCTATTTTAAAAAAATAAATTACTTAGAATCAAAAAAAATCTGACAATGAACCATCATGGGTAGTCTTTGTCAAGAATCAAGAAACAATCCAGATACAAGATCCAAATTTTGAAATATCACTGAAAAACTGTCAAAATTGTACCAAATGTGGTAGCGGGACGTTACACACCCAAACAGATTTAATCCTACTTCCAACTTGTATTTCTTATACTCCTTTGATAAACTGGTATGATTCACACTAGGTTTTAAATTGAAAATGAAATACCAGGTGAGCTATTAAGGCCCCTGGGCATCTTGCTTCAAATACCTACACTTGTATGCCTGACATAATATAAAGATCGAAATGGTACTGTTCAGCGTCAAATCACTGCTAAATGCAGCTCATTTCTCTTTGGTCAAAATTTGTCATGTGTCAAAGGACACATTAAATATTTAGAGATATGTGACGTCAGCAGAAACACTGGAAACACTGTTTGGTAGCAGTGTACAGTAGAAATGGCCCGACTCTGATAAACAAGGCACATGTCGAGTAAATGTAAACACAGCGGATTTACCCTACACAACACATGTATACATGTATATATATTTGTAAACTGCATTACATTTACAACACATATAAAGTACTGAGAAATTACCAAAAAATGCCAAAAATTACCATTTTTGACCCAAAATTTGACCCCCGCAACAAGTGTCTGAAATTAAAGATTACCTACCTGCTGGTTGCAGAATTATCTGGGTCCCAGTAAAGTTGTAAAACTTGATTTTTTGCAATTTTGCGTCGTGTGCTGTTGTCAAAATTTTACCTCCTTTAAAGCTAGCTTTTCATGTGTAGGCACCCTTTCGGATTATGGCCAAAATTATATTCTCGAACCAGAAAAATCTTCTTTTTCTTTAAAAAATGTGAAGCTCACATAGCCCACTTCATCATGCTTATACCAACTTTAGTACAGTTGTATTTTTATATATTTTTTACATATCATTATACAGGGGTTAGCCATTTAACAAAAATATCACCCATGGCCACAACCCTCTACTGTATACTGCTACCTTTAGCTATGACAAAAACTGCGTTCAGTATTATGTAAATGTATTATTTAGGTAAGAAAAGATAGAAGCATTATGAAAAAGGCATTTTGTTTTTACATGTTAAAGCATGTACATTTAATATCTTAAATGTGTGTTAGTTTGGGAAACTTATCATAAAATATGATACTGGGAGGCATCCATTTTATTCGGATATAAAACAAACCATATAATATGAAACATAATAAGTGTGATATTAAACAATGTTGTATTGAGCGAAATCTATTGTAAAAGATGAAATGACATGACCTTATAGAAATACTTCCTCACATGACTAGAATTTTTAACTTGAGCAGAGAATCAAAGAACAATGCATTCTAATTAGATAACTCACTTTGTTTGTATCATTTCATCTTGACGTGACTTGTTTACAGTGGCACTAACCAACGCACTTCGCAACCAGAGGGACTAAGGCGAATCCTTAACTGGATCCACCAGACTTACTCCCCCGCGCAGATCTACGTCACAGAGAACGGCATGTATGACACGACCGGTTCCCTCGAGGACACGGACCGGGAGGAGTATATCAAACAGCACACCAACCAACTGATGAAAGGTACTAGTCAGGTTCATATATGTATTGCCCTCGTATGGTGGAGACAGGATTATTCGTTCACCCGAGATAGGAAACGTTACCCAAGGACGAAGTCTGATTTGAACAAATTAAACCAAAGTGGCAGAAATATCCATGTCGTTACCAAATAAGGTTTTCTTTACTGAAACAGCAATTTTCATGAAACGCGGAAATGATACTTAAAATCAACCACTGTCCAGTCTGTCCTCAGTGTAGCCATCTCCTTGGCCACACATAAAAAACAAAAATGTGTTCTTGTTAATGGACTTTGCCTATGGTTCTAGAATTTGAGTGGGTTTTTTGTACGAGTCAGAAAAGTCCGAGTTTCAATATCTCATTTGACGGAACATTTTTCTAGACTAGAAAATCTTGAGTTCGAATCTCTAGGACACCTTCTTGATCTGATAGCTCAGTTTGATCATAACTTCTAGTCCGTGTTGCTTTGTTGACCAGGCCAAAGTTGCTCTAAGGTCGGTTAGGGGAAAATATTGAAATTTGAATACAACAAAATCAAGATCATCTGACATCGTTTGAACAACTATAGCTTTGTTTAGACAGATCAGAGTGCTATGTTTTAAGGATTGATATGGCATTTTAAGTCCTTTTTCCCGTGGCAATAATTTGAAGTTTTCAAAAACCGCCGTCTTGTTCCAAGCTTATAACCATATGCTTTATAACGTAGATGGAGTGTCCATATTGTCGAAGTGATACGGATTACCAGTAATATATTTGTTTCTCTCTTGGTAGCTATAAGTCTGGACAAGATTGACATCAAAGGTTACTTCGTCTGGTCGTTAATGGATAATTTTGACTGGGAAGACGGATACTCGCGGAAGTATGGACTATATCATGTGGATTTTAACAAGGCAAAAAAGACGCGTACAGACAAACAATCTGCAAACTTCTATAGACAGCTGATAGAAAACAATGGTTTCCATGACAACAGCACAATGACCACACAAGCGCCCCCTGTTGTGATCACCACAACTCCGAAAGTCGTAAAACATGACCAGGGTGTATCGGGAACAGTTTCTCCTCACCAAACGCCATTCACTGTCGTCACCGCGATTTTCATAGGAGTCATACTATTGTCAGCTTCTTAAACGTAAAAAAAAATCTTTGTGTTTGAGACACCTTCCAGTCAGCATATTTTAAAGACGAAAACGATGACTTTTAGAGAATTGTATATTCACTTGTTAAATACAAATAGTCTTCCAATGAAATGACACTCCTTTTAATAAAATAAACATTTATACAAACTTACATTTTTACATTAACACGTGAATATCTTTTGACGCATGGAAGTGTTCTAAGATCATGCTATAACAGTACATCATGAGATGCGATGCCTATCCGTGAAATATATTTCGGCCGAAAGCGGACATGTCCTTTCTCCCTTGGATCTCAGTTTTATTTCTTTGATGGGCAAGTTTTTCTAAACCGGCCGATTTTCGGGATGCCCTTAGCCAGACCAGTTACAAATCGGGCATATTGTTAAGGTTTTAGGGTATTTACTTTTCGCATAAATTCTCGAGAATAATAAATGACAGTCAAACTTTTATGTTTCCAACTTTGCGGTACAATCGAGAAGAAAAATGATACATTGGGACTTCGACTCACGAATGTTGCACTTAGAACATCTTTGTGATCCTTACATTTTGTATATCCTGCATGATTTAATTTGATTCATTGATTGTTAAGTGACGCGGACGGAACACGAGGGAAGAAATTTGATTTAAAATCTTTAAAAACTGGATTTAACGTAGATAGAAAATATGTTTCATGAAGGTATACACTATAGTTCAGTTTGGTACATTTGTATAACTATAATGTCCGTCATCACTCCTAAAATCAGTTTTACGGGTGTCAGAAGTTTGGTATATTTGTATAACTATATTGTCCGTCATCACTCCCAAAATTAGTTTTACGGGTGTCAGAAGTTTGGTACATTTAAGGACATACTTTTAGTGTACATAGATTTATGCAGATCCTTCTTAGGTACTAAAAACTTGACTATTTGAATGCGGTAACAGCTAAACACCGAACTTAAATATTTGTCACGTTGAGTTGCAAAAGGTAGAAAGCAATTTTAATATGAGTGTTAATTGAATTCATCATTTGTGAAATAACAGTGTTACAAATAGGCACGTACAGATCACTTAAAACATTTAAAATGGACAGCTCTGTCTGGCGCTTTATCTCTGATAATATTATGTCTGTTTCCTCAACAGTCAATCTACAGCCACGCCTTACACCCTGCTAGTTGTTTCAGGGAAAGACAGATTCCCATTATCGTTTTGAATTCAAAACTAAGTGTCTAAACAATGTAACCATTTCACAATCTATGCAATTTAACTTGGAACGAACGTCTGTCTCTGAAACAGTTAGCAGGCATATAGAGTGACAAAAGCGGTGACGTATGTGGGTGTTTGGAAGACAGATAATTAATGAATACAATCTGTGCGTTTCCTGAAGCCTCATGGATCCCCGATTTAGTGGGACAAATGTAAAAGGCTGTAGGTGATTGCACTGTTTACTACCGGTGCCACTCTAGGATGGCCTGTAGGTGATTGCACTGTTTACTACCGGTGCCACTCTAGGATGGCCTGTAGGTGATTGCACTGTTTACTACCGGTGCCACTCTAGGATGGCCTGTAGGTGATTGCACTGTTTACTACCGGTGCCACTCTAGGATGGCCTGTAGGTGATTGCACTGTTTACTACCGGTGCCACTCTAGGATGGCCTGTAGGTGATTGCACTGTTTACTACCGGTGCCACTCTAGGATGGCCTGTAGGTGATTGCACTGTTTACTACCGGTGCCACTCTAGGATGGCCTGTAGGTGATTGCACTGTTTACTACCGGTGCCACTCTAGGATGGCCTGTAGGTGATTGCACTGTTTACTACCGGTGCCACTCTAGGATGGCCTGTAGGTGATTGCACTGTTTACTACCGGTGCCACTCTAGGATGGCCTGTAGGTGATTGCACTGTTTACTACCGGTGCCACTCTAGGATGGCCTGTAGGTGATTGCACTGTTTACTACCGGTGCCACTCTAGGATGGCCTGTAGGTGATTGCACTGTTTACTACCGGTGCCACTCTAGGATGGCCTGTAGGTGATTGCACTGTTTACTACCGGTGCCACTCTAGGATGGCCTGTAGGTGATTGCACTGTTTACTACCGGTGCCACTCTAGGATGGCCTGTAGGTGATTGCACTGTTTACTACCGGTGCCACTCTAGGATGGCCTGTAGGTGATTGCACTGTTTACTACCGGTGCCACTCTAGGATGGCCTGTAGGTGATTGCACTGTTTACTACCGGTGCCACTCTAGGATGGCCTGTAGGTGATTCCACTGTTTACTACCGGTGCCACTCTAGGATGGCCTGTAGGTGATTCCACTGTTTACTACCGGTGCCACTCTAGGATGGCCTGTAGGTGATTGCACTGTTTACTACCGGTGCCACTCTAGGATGGCCTGTAGGTGATTGCACTGTTTACTACCGGTGCCACTCTAGGATGGCCTGTAGGTGATTGCACTGTTTACTACCGGTGCCACTCTAGGATGGCCTGTAGGTGATTGCACTGTTTACTACCGGTGCCACTCTAGGATGGCCTGTAGGTGATTGCACTGTTTACTACCGGTGCCACTCTAGGATGGCCTGTAGGTGATTCCACTGTTTACTACCGGTGCCACTCTAGGATGGCCTGTAGGTGATTCCACTGTTTACTACCGGTGCCACTCTAGGATGGCCTGTAGGTGATTGCACTGTTTACTACCGGTGCCACTCTAGGATGGCCTGTAGGTGATTGCACTGTTTACTACCGGTGCCACTCTAGGATGGCCTGTAGGTGATTCCACTGTTTACTACCGGTGCCACTCTAGGATGGCCTGTAGGTGATTCCACTGTTTACTACCGGTGCCACTCTAGGATGGCCTGTAGGTGATTGCACTGTTTACTACCGGTGCCACTCTAGGATGGCCTGTAGGTGATTCCACTGTTTACTACCGGTGCCACTCTAGGATGGCCTGTAGGTGATTCCACTGTTTACTACCGGTGCCACTCTAGGATGGCCTGTAGGTGATTCCACTGTTTACTACCGGTGCCACTCTAGGATGGCCTGTAGGTGATTCCACTGTTTACTACCGGTGCCACTCTAGGATGGCCTGTAGGTGATTGCACTGTTTACTACCGGTGCCACTCTAGGATGGCCTTTAAATGAAGTTTACTACCGGTGCCACTCTAGGATGGCCTGTATGTGATTCCACTGTTTACTACCGGTGCTACTCTATGATGGCCTGTAGGTGATTCCACTGTTTACTACCGGTGCCACTCTAGGATGGCCTGTAGGTGATTCCACTGTTTACTACCGGTGCCACTCTAGGATGGCCTGTATGTGATTCCTCTGTTTACTACCGGTGCCACTCTAGGATGTAGGTGATTGCACTATTTACTACCGGTGCCACTCTAGGATGGCCTGTAGGCGATTGCACTGTTTACTACCGGTGCCACTCTAGGATGTAGGTGATTCCACTGTTTAGTACCGGTGCCACTCTAGGATGGCCTGTAGGTGATTGCACTGTTTACTTCCGGTGCCACTCTAGGATGGCCTGTACGTGATTGTACTGTTTACTACCGGTGCCACTCTAGGATGTAGGTGATTCCACTGTTTAGTACCGGTGCCACTCTAGGATGGCCTGTATGTGATTCCTCTGTTTACTACCGGTGACACTCTAGGATGGCCTGTAGGTGATTGCACTGTTTACTTCCGGTGCAACTCTAGGATGGCCTGTACGTGATTGTACTGTTTACTACCATGTGATTGCACTGTTTACTACCGGTGCCTCTCTAGGATGTAGGTGATTCCACTGTTTGCTCTCTAGGATGGTCTGTAGGTCATTCCACTGTTTACTACCGGTGCCACTCTAGGATGGCATTTAACTGAAGCTTGCCATTGTTACAGTGTATACAAGATGGAATCGACGTACTTTGTTAACTTATTAAATGTGTTGATGAAAAGTAAAATACTTAATATTTTATATGCACTGGCTGTATTAGGTTAGGGGAGGCAATCAGTTTAACCTCAATAACAAATCATCACGTCACTGAGTTTTCTCCCTTCATTGCTGCGACAAATAGTAAAGTTGCAAATGAAATAAAGGAAAATCTAAAGCATCGAAAGGAATAATTATAAGCCGTGACAACAGGAACTGGGGAGGCACCAAAGCAAAAGAAAAGTCACCGTATACCCCGAAAAAAAATCTAGATGTGACATTCCTGGACAAGTGTATCCACACTGTTAACGGGGTGGGATCAATAGAATCCCTCACCCCCTTGGAGGTGAGATAGGAGAGTGTCAACCCGAGGGGGAAGATTCGTTAGTTGCCAAACACGAAAATTTTCCGAGTGTTTGGAACATTAAAAATCTTTTCCGGGGGGTTGAGATTACCCTTTCTCACCCTGAAGTGGGTGAATGATTCGTTTTCTCTTACCCTGTTCACCAATTGTGTATCACATACATAATTTAATGCTAACGTTTCAGGCTAAATTCAGGGTTGAAGTGACGTTGATGGATTGAGGTGACGTCATACCATTGTTATGAATAAAGGAATCCCCCGTTTCAACCCTAGGGTGAGATAGATAGGATCTTACAAGAGTTTCAATTTCATTTTAGATTTATGAAACGATTCTTGACGAGTTTCATAAATTTCATATGGAACGAAAACGAGTGTAAGATCCTGTTTATCACATAATCAAGATTTGAGGCATTTATTCGTGTAAAACGACAAATTTAATGCGACCTTAAAATGAAAAATGCCGCCATTTTGACTTCAGTGCGTAAGCCTGTGACGTCAAGTACATGTCCTAGGCGTGACCTCACAATTGAAACAATTGAAACTTACAAACAATCACAGGGCTGATAGGTCATAATACATGGGTTAATACTTAACAATAATGGCATAGGTATATGCACTGGATAACACAGTACATTATGTGATAAAAGGAAATCTCACACCGGTAAAAGTGCGGATACACCTGTCCAGGGTAGGAGAAAAGGATTTCTGTACTCAGGACAGATGTATCCACAATTTTACCGGTGTGATATATAAAAGTGCGGATACACCTGTCCAGGGTCAGAGAAAAGGATTTCTCTTACTCAGGACAGATGTATCCACAATTTTACCGGTGTGAGATATCCTTTTATCACCCCTGTTCATAACAATGGAATGACGTCACTTAAACAATACAATGACGTCACGT